ACAAAACCTTTTGTTTTGCTTAATGGACCGGTAGCGGAATGTTTGCGTTTGGCTGATGGGCCGGCAAAAAAATGTTTTTGAACGAAAAAGGTGCATGTTAAAATGAAATGAAGACATTTTATTTACAACTTTCTGGTTTTGCTTAATGGACCGGTACAGAACGCTTTGTTTTGCTTAATGGGCCGGTACCGGAATGTTTGCGTTTGGTTCATGGCAAGGAAGTGCCGGTTTCAAAAGGTTGGAACTCACGGTTGCCAACGTGGGAACCACAGGTTACCATTGCAAGGAACTGCCGGTTCCCAGAGGTTGTAACTCCTGGTTCCCAACCTGGGAACCATGGGTTACCATTGCAAGGAACTGCCGGTTCCCAGAGGTTGGAACTCCTGGTTCCCAACCTGGGAACCATGGGTTACCATTGCAAGCAACTGCCGGTTCCCAGAGGTTGGAACTCCTGGTTCCCAACCTGGGAACCATGGGTTACCATTGCAAGCAACTGCCGGTTACTAGAGGTTGGAACTGATGGTTCCCAACGTGGGAACCAAAGGTTACCATGGCAAGGAACTGCCGGTTCCCAGACCTTGAAACTTACGGTTCCCAACCTGGGAACCAGAGGGTACCATTGCAAGGAATTGCCGGTTCCCAGAAGTTAGAATTTATGTTTTCGAAGCTAAGCAACTATCATTGCAAGGAACTGCGGATTCCCAAAGTTTGAAACTCATGGTTCCAAACCTGAAAAAGCATACGTTACCAGTGGAAGGATCTGTTGATTCCAAAAAGATAAAAATCATGGTTCTTAATGTTGTTTTGTTTTGTTTACTGAGCCGGTAACAGAACCTTTTGTTTTGCTTAATGGACCGGTAGCGGAATGTTTGCGTTTGGCTGATGGGCCGGCAAAAAAATGTTTTTGCGCGAAAAAGGTGTATGTTAAAATGATATGAAGACATTTTCTTTACAACTTTCTGGTTTTGCTTAATGGACCGGTACAGAACGCTTTGTTTTGCTTAATGGGCCGGTACCGGAATGTTTGCGTTTGGTTCATGGCAAGGAAGTGCCGGTTTCAAAAGGTTGGAACTCACAGTTGCCAACGTGGGAACCACAGGTTACCATTGCAAGGAACTGCCGGTTCCCAGAGGTTGGAACTCCTGGTTCCCAACCTGGGAACCATGGGTTACCATTGCAAGGAACTGCCGGTTCCCAGAGGTTGGAACTCCTGGTTCCCAACCTGGGAACCATAGGTTACCATTGCAAAGAACTTCCAGTTCCTAAAGGTTAGAACTGATGGTTCCCAACGTGGGAACCAAAGGTTACCATGGCAAGGAACTGCCGGTTCCCAGACGTTGAAACTTACGGTTCCCAACCTGGGAACCAGAGGTTACCATTGCAACGAATTGACGGTTCCCAGAAGTTAGAATTTATGTTTTCGAAGCTAAGCGGCCATCATTGTAAGGAACTGCGGGTTCCCAAAGCTTGAAACTCATGGTTCCAAACCTGAAAAAGCATACGTTACCAGTGGAAGGATCTGTTGATTCCAAAAAGTTAAAACTCATGGTTCTTAATGTTGTTTTGTTTTATTTGCTGAGCCGGTAACAGAACCTTTTGTTTTGCTTAATGGACCGGTAGCGGAATGTTTGCGTTTGGTTGATGGGCCGGCATAAAAATGTTTTTGCACGAAAAATGCGCATGTCAAACTGATATGAAAACATTTTCTTTACAACTTCATGGTTTTGCTTAATGGACCGGTACAGAACGCTTTGTTTTGCTTAATGGACAGGTACCGGAATGTTTGCGTTTGGTTCATGGCAAGGAACTGCCGGTTCCCAAAGGTTGGAACTCACGGTTGCCAACGTGGGAACCACAGGTTACCATTGCAAGGAACTGCCGGTTCCCAGAGGTTGGAACTCCTGGTTCCCAACCTGGGACCCATGGGTTACCATTGCAAGCAACTGCCGGTTACCAGAGGTTGGAACTCATGCTTCCCAACCTGGGAACCATAGGTTACCATTGCAAAGAACTTCCGGTTCCTAAAGGTTGGAACTCATGGTTCCCAACGTGGGAACCAAAGGTTACCATGGCAAGGAACTGCCGGTTCCCAGACGTTGAAACTTGCGGTTCCCAACTTGGGAACCAGAGGTTACCATTGCAACGAATTGCCGGTTCCCAGAAGTTAGAATTTACGTTTTCGAAGCTAAGCGGCTATCATTGTAAGGAACTGCGGATTCCGAAAGCTTGAAACTCATGGTTCCAAACCTGAAAAAGCATACGTTACCAGTGGAAGGATCTGTTGATTCCAAAAAGTTAGAACTCATGGTTCTTAATGTTGTTTTGTTTTGTTTACTGAGCCGGTAACAGAACCTTTTGTTTTGCTTAATGGACCGGTAGCGGAATGTTTGCGTTTAGCTGATGGGCCGGCATAAAAATGTTTTTGCACGAAAAATGCGCATGTCAAAATGATATGCGGCAACGAAAAAACGCCTTGGCTCAGACCCTGCACAGCACCCTGCACAGCACCCTGCACAGCGCCTTTGCCAGACTTTGGCACCGCAATCTGGACAGCACCCTGCACAGCACCCTGTACAGCACCCTGCACAGCACCCTGCACAGCACCTTTGCCAGACTTCGCCACTGCAGTCTGAACAGCACGCACCCTGCACAGCACCTTGGCCAGACTTCGCCACTGCAGTCTGAACAGCACCCTGCACAGCACCCTGCACAGCACCTTTGCCAGACTTTGGCACCGCAATCTGGACAGCACCCTGCACAGCACCCTGCACAGCACCTTTGCCAGACTTCGCCACCGCACTAGTACAACACCCTGCACAGCACCCTGCACAGCGCCTTTCCTTTGCCAGACTTCGCCACCGCAGCCTGGACAGCACCCTGCAAAGCACCCTGCAAAGCACCCTGCAAAGCACCCTGCAAAGCACCCTGCACAGCACCTTTGCCAGACTTCGCCACCGCACTCTGAACAACACCCTGCAGAGCACCCTGCACAGCACCCTGCACAGGACCTTTGCCAGACTTCGCCACCGCAGTCTGGACAACACCCTGCACAGCACCCTGCACAGCACCTTGGCCAGACTTCGCACCGCAATCTGGACAGCACCCTGCACAGCACCTTTGCCAGACTTCGCCACCGCAGTCTAGACAGCACCCTGCACAACACTGTGCACAGCACCCTGCACAGCACCTTTGCCAGACTTCGCCACTGCAGTCTGAACAGCACTCTGCACAGCACCCTGCACAGCACCTTTGCCAGACATCGCCACCGCAGTCTGGACAACACCCTGCACAGCACCCTGCACAGCACCTTTGCCAGACTTTGGCACCGCAATCTGGACAGCACCCTGCACAGCACCCTGCACAGCACCTTGGCCAGACTTCGCCACCGCAGTCTGGACAGCACCCTGCACAGCACCTTTGCCAGACTTCGCCACCGCAGTCTAGACAGCACCCTGCACAGCACCCTGCACAGCACCCTGCACAGCACCCTGCACAGCACCTTTGCCAGACTTCGCCACGGCAGTCTGAACAGCACTCTGCACAGCACCCTGCACAGCACCCTGCACAGCACCTTTGCCAGACATCGCCACCGCAGTCTGGACAACACCCTGCAGAGCACCCTGCACAGCACCCTGCGCAGCACCTTTTCCAGACTTCGCCACCGCAGTCTGGACAGCACCCTGCACAGCACCGTGCACAGCACCTTTGCCAAACTTCGCCACCGCAATCTGGACAGCACCCTGCACAGCACCGTGCACAGCACCTTTGCCAAACTTCGCCACCGCAGTCTGGACAGCACCCTGCACAGCACCTTTGCCAGACTTCGCCACCGCAGTCTAGACAGCACCCTGCACAGCACCCTCCACAGCACCTTTGCCAGACTTCTGCACCGCAATCTGGACAGCACCCTGCACAGCACCCTGCACAGCACCCTGCACAGCGCCTTTCCTTTGCCAGACTTCGCCACCGCAGTCTAGACAGCACCCTGCACAGCACCCTGCACAGCACCTTTGCCAGACTTCGCCACCGCAGTCTGGACTGCACCCTGCACAGCACCATGCACAGCACCCTGCACAGCACCCTGCTCAAAAGTTCGCCACCGAAGACCCCACCTTTGACTTGAGAAGTAAGAACCCCTATAGCTTGCCAGCTATCTGGGGAAAAATGACTGTGGCGGCAATACAAGGCTGAAGCCAGGCTTTGCCACCCTTCTTGGGGCGCTTGGTGGCAGGCTGCAGCTGCACGGAAGCATTCGAGGGCTGCCCGGCGGCAGTTTCGAAACCGGATAAAAAATGATTTTGGCGGCCACACAAGGCCGAAGCCGGTTACTTGGAGGCTGTGCCACCCTTCTTGGGGCTTGGCGGCAGGCTGCAGCTGCACGGAGGCATTTGAGGGCTGCCCGGCGGCAGTTTCGAAACCGGATAAAAAAAATGAGTTTGGCGGCCACACCAGGCCGAAGCCCGTTACTTGGAGGCTGTCCCTTCTGGGGGCTTGGTGGCAGGCTGCAGCTGCACGGAAGCATTTGAGGGCTGCCCGGCGGCAGTTTCGAAACCCGATAAAAAATGACTTTGGCGGCCATATAAGGCCGAAGCCAAGGCTGAAACCGGGCTTTGCCACCCTTCTTGGGGCTTGGTGGCAGGCTGCAGCTGCACGGAAGCATTCGAGGGCTGCCCGGCGGCAGCTTCGAAACCGGATAAAAAATGATTTTGGCGGCCACACAAGGCCGAAGCCGGTTACTTGGAGGCTGCGCCACCCTTCTTGGGGCTTGGTGGCAGGAAGGAAGGTTTCAAGGAAGCGAAACGCAAGAGGCAGCAATGCGGCACACCTGCGGTGATCCCAGGCGCCGCCCCGCCTAGGCCAAGGCTAGGCAGGGGTCGGCGGATATATGATTATAATTACATGGTTGATAGCTGAATATATATTATATATAGATATTAATGATATAATATTGTATAATCACATGAGTATATAAGTCTGCGGGTAACTTGGAGTTTGTCCAGGATTCTGGTGCCTATCCATTGCACTCGGTTGCTTCCTCAGTTCAGTGAACCACAGGCCTGGTGGCCATGATATTCACCTGGACCTAGTGACGTCTGACCAGGTAGAGGGGCAAATGAGATTGGCGGGTGATCTGTCGTTCCACTTAAGAGACTACGAGGCGCAACTCTCAGTGGGATGAGGGCTTGGAAAATGTCACATGCGTACGTATAATATGAACGCAAAACCAATGCGACGTTGACTATTCAATGCTCAGTGGGATTCGCGAGAATTTAACTTTTTGAACTCAGACACGATTTCTAGTTCTGAACCTTGGGTGCTTGCACTTTGATGTAAACGTTCGGATGCTTGCCTGCACAGGTTGCTCTTGGGTACTACCGCAACGTACCACTCTTGGAATGCGTGAAAGGTAACTGTAATCAAATACCTCAGTCAGTCCACTCAGATTGGCTTTGACTGCCCTTTACGCGCCATGAGGTTGTCAGCGACTTCAAGCAGGAGTTGCAATGCTTGCAGACAAACTTGTTTTTTTTTAATAGATCTGACAGTGACTAGGGCCCTGGCACGGTTGGCCCCCTGTAGTGGGTGGTGTGGTCCTGCTACTTTGTGCACAGCAGCCCAAAAAAACATGACATCAAGAAACCAACTGGGGGCTTGAATGCTCAAGCTTGGATGGACCCCCGCGTGGTTCTAGGTGTTTTTGTGGAAGGCCTTAGATCTAATTTTTGGGGACTTGCCTGCCCGGCCTATTGTGTTCAGCCTAGTGTTGGTCTTTTGGGCTTCTGTGTGCTGCTTGGTTGGCTCCTTGGCTTTGGTTCTGCGGTGGCTCTGTTCCTTCGGTTTGGCACCCTTTGGACTTTTGCCTGTCCCTCTCAACCTGCCTCGGGTCAACCAGGCGCTGCCCATACTCAGCCCTCCCGGGCACAATTGCTAGCTGCTTACTTGCATGAGCCAAGGCCTCGACAGCCAACACGGAGAAGTTGAATTGCGGGTTACGCTGCCCGGGGGCATCAGGGTGTTGGTCACAGCTCCACCGGAATCTGCTGCCACTGCTGCTCTGCTGCTTGGCCACATTTCTCTGTTTGAGGCCCCCTCCTCTCCTCGAACTGATCAGTCATTTGAGGTGGTGTCTTCTGCTTCTTCGGTTGTGCGTGCCCCTTCTGGTCCTCGTCGCCTTGAGACACGTGAGCAAATTGCCCAGTCTTTTGTGCCCTGTCCGACCCGTCTTTTCCAAAACAGTGCTAAGCTGTGTGGGTCCTCTCTGTCTGGCCGTGATCGTGTGGAGCGGGCTTGGACTTGTGGACAGTGGGCTGCAGCGGTTAGGGACTCCCGGATTCACAGTCCCAATCGCACCCCGCCCATTGACTTGCGGGCGCGGTTCTACGCAGTCTTGCGTGCCTCTGGACTTGAGCAACCAACCATCTTCAAATCCTCTGCGGGCTACTGGGCCGCCATCCAGCGTCTGGACGGAAGCGACTCGATTTCCCAAAGCTTCCCCAGCGAGCTTGAGGCGAAGATCTACTTGGAATCTGCTGGTGCCCTGGACTTTGTCATTGCCCCTTAGTCGGCACGATGGAACCTGTGGATTTGGATTTGGGTTCCCTCGTGACCTTGCAGTCCGACGTAGTTCCTTATGTTTTGGATTGGTCGAGTCCTGGAGATCCGGTGGAGGCATGTGTCTTTGTGATCAATTTGAGGCCTGGTGGACTTTTGCTGGCCGTTCCCCTTGGAGTTGTTCCCGAAGAGGTTCTTGCACAAGGAAACGAGTCTTTGCCACCTGGTCCTGTCGGTCCGTCAACTGTGGTCGTTGTCCCAGCCGTCTTGCCAGAGGGGGGGGTAATGTCGCCAACCGGCACCAACATGTCAGTTTTGGTAGTCGACATGTCCGAAGAAGCCCTGCATCGACTGCATGCAGTGGACCCGTCTGTCCCTGTGGAATTTGTTTTCAACGAAGAGCAGCCTTTTGCCATACCAGATCCGGCCGCTTTGAAGAGCTCGGTGAGAGATTGGCTGGAGGCAGGTGCCGAGACGTCAGGCCTAGGCTATGTAACAGCCGAACCAGAGTTGGAGGGAGAAGCATTAGAGGAGGAGGCGCCATCTCCGCCTCTTGCCCCAACACGCCAAAGAAAGCTCACTCAGCGTGGGCGCGAGCCGGCTACCGCTTCAGGAAGGAAGCCCACGGTAGCCACTCTTGCCGGTTCCATAGAACAGTTGTTGCAAGCGAACGTAGGGATTTCAAAGCAACTGGAGTCCTTGACTGTGCGCCAACAGCAGTTGGAGAAGCAGCGCCAGCAGCCTCTTGTGCCTCCCCCCTTACCCTCTCACCAGTCTGTCTTGAGCCAGCCTTTATCATCTGTATTGACGGTTCCTCAGGTTGGAAGTTCGGCAGTGGTCCACCATTTGGGTGCTCCCCCCAAAACCCTTGTTCCAGCGTCCCCGGGTCTGTTAAGGTCTCCTTTGGTTCAACACCCAGAGCTTGGAGAATTGGAGGCGGAGAAGTTGAAGCCAGGCCTATCTTCCTCCAGCGACAGCCTTGCTCAAGCAGTTCTTGCACAATCCCAAGCCTTAACTGCCCTGGTGTCACAGATAGCAGCTCAGTCGAGCGACCCCATGGTGGATTTAGGCAGCATGGGCTCGACGGCAGGGACAAGGGGTGCTCAAGGGAGAGCAAAGCTCCAAGCGGAGCTGGCAGCACAGCGAGGAACCTTCTTTGCATCGGTTCTGAATGCAATGGCGCGGAGAATGCAGCCGACCTCACCTGCCGATGGGACCCCGGGCGAATTGATGGCCCGAGGGGTTTGCGGCACAAAATACCTGGAAAGGTTTGGGGGGTTCGGAAAACACAGGGAGCTAGGTTGCCTGCAGCACCAAGTGATGACTATCATGGACTTCTTGCAAACAGAAAACTTGCCTGCCGCTCGAGACGCGGCAGCTCTGTTAGCAGTAACCATAGATCAGGCAGCCTTGGACAACTCCAGATTCGAGCTGGCCACCCTTCTTTGCTTGCAAGAGGAGCCACCGTCAACAGTGTTCAGTCACAAGCCAGCCAATGTGATGTCCAAGACCCGGGCTTTCAGCCCACTTGCCGACCAAAAGTGGGTCACTGTAGCTCTGGCTTACCTGAAAGAATTGGATGTGATCTCGGCCAAACGCCTGGAACTGACCTCCCAAGCCAGCGCTGCAGCTTTAGGAAGTGGAAATTCCGAAAAGCTGAAAGCCAAGCCCTTTCCGAAAAGGAAACAGAAATGGGGAGGAAAAGGAAACCAAGGAAATGCGGAGGGAGAGGAGCAGTAGCAAAAAATGCTGCCCCATCCGAGCAGAGTGAGGGTGGGCTGGAGTCAAACCCCCTTACTTCCAGTATAAGCCTGAGCTCATGGGTTTCATGTTTGCCAAGGTGGATTTTGAGAACTCGCACTGGCTTTTCCCGCTGTCTTGCCAGTGCTTTTGCTGTTGTGCGTCGCTCTGATGCAGCGACTACCGCAATTTTCCCACTGCCCCTTGCCTGCCTGAAGTGTTTTGGTAGCAGTGGCCCTGGACTCTCTCGCAAGAGGTTTTGGTCGTTGTGTAGGGCTCGGTTGGTGAATGTTTGGATTCTTGTCCTTAATTTCATGTACCTGGGTCGCTGGCCATCCCATGAGGAGCTCCAGAGATGCCCGAATGGCCTGCAAGAAGATGTTTTTGCCCGGCTGCGAGCATTTGTCATTGCGTGTGGTGAAGCCCAGGTCCAGTTTAGTCTGTGCCCCGGTCGATCCAGTCCTGAATTAGGTGCAGCCCTGTTTCAACTTGAACAGTTCTGTCAGAGGTGCCCAGAGCTTGGAACTGGTTACCTAGAGCATGAAGTGCCTTTTCGTGAGCAACCCAATTTGCTGTCTGCAGAGAAGCATCCTGAGCTGCTGCCCTATCGTTCCCTTGATGCGAGCCGTCTCAGACTTGTTGGGACGGGAGAATGGCCTATGGAATTTTTCCTTGAAGGAACGTTGTGGCTTCCATTTCAGGATCCTCGGTTTCTTTTTCATGATCGGCCGCTGTCTGGGATCGACTTGCCAAACTTTGCCTCTGAGAAGCCTGCAGAGTGCCTGAAGCTAGCGAAGCTGTGGGATTCGAGGGGTCTCCTTTTTCTGTCGGATGAGCCTGTTAAGCCGGGGTTGTTTTGCAAGGTTTTTAATGCCTACAAAGCTGCCACTTGTGATCGGCAGATTGGAGACCGCAGGCTTGTGAACCAGAGCGAGTTTCATGTTGATGGCCCTTCCAAGTACCTGCCCCAAGGAAGACAGCTCACTCAGCTCAGGTTGCCACGTTTCACTCATGCCTTTAGAGGGATTGTCACTGACCGCCGTGATTTTTATCATCAAGCGCAAGTTTCAAATGAGCGGGCCATGACCAACATGCTCCCCTTTAGCTATCCCCTTAGCTGCTTTGAAGGCACTTCGGCTTTGGAGGAGTACCTGGGCAGCCGAACGAAAGGCAGGAGGTCTCGGGATGTGTCAGGCGATGGATTTCGTGCAAGAGGATCGATTTTGGCCACTGGACTCCCTGGCCACGTTTATCCCTGTTTTCGTTCCCTGTTTCAAGGTGACCACCTAGGTGTTGAGTTTGCCCTGCAAAGCCATGCTGTGCTTTTGAAATCTGGTGGACTGCTGACCGAGCGGACTCAGATCTTGGGAATCATTGCGTTCCGTCTGGCCCTGTTTGGGATGCGCTTGTGATTGATGACTTTTTCTCTATCAGTGCTGAGCCTCTTTCAACTCCGAAGGAAAAGACTGCCTCCATGCTTGCACTTGCCAAAGCCAGGAGCATTTATGACAAGGCTCATCTTTTGGGGTCCTCAGAAAAGGATGTGGTCGCAGAAACCACGTTCAAGGCTGCTGGAGCTGAAGTCAGGTCTGACCCCAAGAATGTGAGGCTTGGAATTGTGCCTGTCGGAGCCCCAATCGCGAAGAGATTAGCGCTTAGTGCCTTGTCGCTTCGGGTAGCTCGTTTGCCTGCTGTGACGCCTGGCCTTGTTGCTCGTCTTGCCGGAAATTGGGTTTCTGTCCTGCAGTACCGGAAATGTCTATCCAGTTTGATTGATGACCTTTTCCTGTTGTCGTCTCAATGCAGTGACTCTGACTTTGGTGTTGCTGTCCCCTTGCCACGTAGGATTAGCCAAGAACTTGTCCTCCTTTCTTCCATGGCCCCTCTGATGTGCTCAAACCTTTCGGTCAATTTTCTGGATAGGTTGTTTGCCACAGATGCCTCTTGTCAAAAGGGGGGCATAGTCAGTGCAGAGATTCCACTTGATGTTCATGAAGCGTTGTGGCTTGGGACTGACAAAAGGGGTGCTTACACCCACCTTGCAAACCCCTTTCATGCGGTCCTCAGGAGCCTTGGCGAAGCTGATGATGACCACGAGACTTCTGGGCCCTGGGACTGTGCCACTCAACCTCAGAAGTCCCCCCTCATGTATTTTGATTTTGTTGAGATTTGTGGGGGAGCGGGGAAAGTCGGTGATGCCCTTCATGCCAGAGGTTGGAATGTAGCCCCTGTCCTGGATTTGTCCGAGAGTGCCCACTATGACCTTGGCTCCCTACGTTTGCTGGAATGGATCATTCACATGATTGAAGAAGGTAGGTTCAGGTCTTTCATGGTTGAACCCCCTTGCACTACTTTCTCTCCGGCTGCTCACCCTGCTGTCAGGTCATACCGAGAGCCTCTTGGTTTTGATAGGCTCGATCCAAAGACGCTCCATGGGAATTTGCTGGCCTTTCGGGCTCTCATCTTGCTTCGTGTCGGCCGTCGTTGTGGCACCCCTTGCGCGGCAGAGCAGAGCAGGCTTTCCAAAATGTGCTGGTTGACCTTCTGGATTTCCCTGCTTGATGTTGGGTTTGAGGAAGCTGTCATGGCAAGTTGCATGTTTGGCTCCCCCCACCGGAAGGAGTTTCGTCTGCTGTGTTATCTGTTGGATGTTGCCTTCCTTGACACCAGGTGCTGTGGGGGCCACTCCCATGTCAGAATCCAGGGAAGCCTCACCAAGCCCTCCGCTGTTTATGTTGATGGTCTTGCTGATCGCATTGCAGCTGCCTTCCATCGGGCTTTGACTTCCTTGAATGCTTGTCGCCGTCTGGAGCCTGAGGTCGTCGGTCTGGAGTCGCCTGTCGTCAATGACCTTGCGCTCTCTTCCAAGTGGTCACTTGTCCGTGCCTGGTTTTGGAAAAGGAGTGGCCACATCAATGTGCTTGAACAGGCTTCGGCCGTATCTTTGCTTGACCAGCTCAGTTGCCAGACCTCTTCTGTGCGTTTTGCGTCGCTCATTGACTCTGCTGTCTGTCGTGGCTCCTTGTCCAAGGGTCGCTCAGCGTCTGTTGCCTTGCAGCCCGGCTTGAAAAAGGCAGGAGCCATCTGTGTCGCTGCGGACCTGTATCCGGTTTGGCCCTACTGTCCCACTCGCCTGAACACTGCTGATGACCCTACTCGGTCTGTCTCCGTGCGTGCCCCTGTCTGTCATTCCCTAGTCAAGCTTTCTGGATTCAGCGACCTTGCAAAGGCTTCAAGTGGATTCCTGCGCAGGTTTGCCGCCAATTGGTTCCGGCTTGTGCTCCTTGCCCTGCTTGTTACAGGTTCTGACTCTGTCTCTTGTGGTAGTGAGCCTGGCCCTTGGGTCTCTCCGTTTTGGATTTCTGACCTTGCCCATGTCAGCTGTGTTGGAATTGGCCTCCTCTTGCCCCTCCTTGTCGCTCTGTGGACTTTGCCTTGGATTTTGCCTGGGATTTTCGGTGAAACCCGCTGCGCTGAGTGTGACCTGTGGTGGACTTCTGGTCGTGTAGGTACGGGCAGGGTAACACTAATTTGTAAGTGGACTTCTAAGGGTAGGATTGGCCTTGTAGTTCGCGCCATGGTTTTGCTTTGCTGCTTGGTGCCAGCTGGTGCTATGCCCATTGGAGCAAACACAGCTGTTGAACATGCAGGAGTTTTGGCGCGGGCTGGAAATAACTTGGTGTCCTCGAGAGCTGTGCGCCCTCAAACCCGCGACAAGAGGCTGGTTTATCTGGAGAGATTCAGACGGTGGCTGCTGGAGGAGAAGTCGACTTCTCTGCGGATGCTACTCGAGCAAAAACCGCCAGATCCAGAAAAGGTAAACGATCTGCTGATCGAATACGGGAAACAGCTTTACTACGGTGGAAAGGCGTATGGTATCTACGCAGAGACTGTGAACGCCATAGCGGCTGAGAGACCACTCATCCGCCGCCAACTCACAGCGGCTTGGGACCTAGCCTTCTGCTGGCTCGCTGACGAGCCGACCTGTCATCATCCTGCCATGCCCTTGTCAATCTTGACAGCTATGGTCACAACGGCTCTGACATGGGGATGGCCCTATGAAGCAGCTGTTTTGATGCTTTCCTGGGCAGGTGTGATGAGGATTGGTGAAGTGCTCTGCGCACTTCGCAGAGACTTGGTGCTGCCCGTGGACGCTGCTCCAGGCACCTCCTTCGCCTTGGTGATCATCCGGGCGCCGAAGACACGGGGCAGAGCAGCCAACCATCAGTCAGCACGTATTGACCAGTCGGACATCATTGCCTTCCTCACCTCTATGTATGGTTCTTCACCTGCGGACTCCAGCATTTGGCCATATTCAGCAGCGACTCTGAGGAAACGATTTGTGAACCTACTGAATGCGCTGGAGCTTCCTACTGAGAAAAGAGGTGAGGCACGACCTTTTGATCTCGGTAGCCTCCGACCAGGTGGCGCGACATGGTTGCTCCACCATACAGGTGACCTTGAGCTTGTTAGACACAGAGGCAGGTGGCTTTCTGTCAGAACTATGAACATTTACCTACAGGAAGTTCAGGTCGCCACCTACATTGTTCGTGTGGCACCTAGAACCCGCTTTTTGATTGAGGTTTGCGCAGGAGCTTTTGCCTTCACCCTGGCGCGTGCAATAGCGTTTTTGGATTCAGGCATACCTCCTGCAGCATGGTACGCACTCCTGAAAATTTCTGCAGGTTCTCCTTCGAAGAGTTCTGGAAAGGATGGAAAAGGTGGCCTTTTTGAGCCTGGGATCCAACAACAACCGGATCCAGGCATGATGACATCTCCCTGCACAGCAGCAAAAGACCGAGGGAGGCTTTCTTGACATCAAGAAACCAACTGGGGGCTTGAATGCTCAAGCTTCCCTGCCACGCCCACCCAGGCAGAAATTTTACAGGGGCCTTTTTGAGCCTGGGATCCAACAACAACCGGATCCAGGCATGATGACATCTCCCTGCACAGCAGCAAAAGACCGAGGGAGGCTTTCTTATATAATTATATATAATATATATCAGCGCTTCCAGCTGCACTAAGTCTCTTGCTCCTTTTTTCCTTGCGCTTCTTGTGTGGACCTTCGTGGCTCGAACTTTGTTGTCAAGCCTTTGGTTGTGTTCTCCAAGTTGTCTTTCCTCGCACAACCCGTCACCTGATGCTTCTCAGTCTTAGTGGTGGTGTGATGTCTTCTTGAATTGGATGGGGAGCTGTCTTCGCCAGCGCACATGTTTTTCAAAGATGAATTGCAATTCAATCAGAATCTTTTGCATTATGTTGCTATGTGAAAGCCATGTTTGCTGCAAATTTTGCAGATCATCGGCGGTCGCATTGATCATGGCGATAGGACAAGAGTTGGAAACATGCCGCTGGAGCATACGAGATGATTGCGCCTCAGTCATGTAGTGGCCACATGCAAATGACAGAAGGTTGCTTAAGCCACTTTCACTCTTAAGGTCGGAGGATAGGGAAGATCAGTAGAAGCTGAAAGCAAAGACTCACCAGGGGTGTCAAAACAAATGCCCTGTGAAATAACAGGAATCACACGTAGAGTTGCGAAAAAGGAGGGGGGGAGAGGATGAAAACAACAACGTTAATCAGGAAAACACGAATCATCCTGTGCTTGAAGGTGTTTCCTAGATACTCAGGTGGGGCCTTTGTGCCTACATTACCAATGGTGCCAGGAGTGCGATTGCCTCAGTTGCATTGTGAATACGTTATCATAATATGTTTTGATATGTTTTGTATTGTTTTGTGTCTTGTGCTAGTTGAACGATGAACTGGTTTTAAAGTGTAGGTGTTTACTCATAGATTCATAGATAACTTGTACGCATTTTGCTGAATAGTGGCTTGTCATATACTGTAATTTCATTTTGTTGCTCAGTCCTGCTTGCGAATTGAAGATTGGATCAGCTCAAAGGAATGGAACCGCTGCATGGAGAGTGCCTATGAGCACTACTTGCAAGCATCTTCCACCAGATTGGCGATGCGAGTCCGCCGGACTGGAAACACTCAGAAATCCTGTTGTCCGCTTGGTACACCGTCGCTTTTTCAGTGAACTCTTGATGTGTTGACATTTTTGGATTCCGTGTGACGGTGCTTGTCTCAGTTTCCAACACAGCTCGGCTATGCTCAGCTTGTCAGGCAGTGGTCTTGCACCAGGCGATGTGGTGCGACCTCAAAGAGGCGGCATTGAGGCTGATGAAGGTGAGAGCTGACAATTTGATACGATTTGTACCAAGGTTATGTGCATCCATGATCATTTGATATCATCTGTATCTTTCACTTGGGGCGAGAATTTCCAAGAATTTCCTGCCAGGTCAATGGAGATCTGCCTGACAACAATTTGCGAAATGCCCTCATTTTGGAGCAGGTCGGAAACGGGCCAGCCCTGCAGACTGCTGCCATTTTGCCGATTTTGCCTTCATTTTTTTAGGATTTGTGTTGTTATCAGTGTCTTGGCCATGTGGACCTTGACTTGGGCCCTTGGTGTCTTGTGCACCGCAGGCTGGGCAGCTGTACTACACCTGCGGTGCTCCCAGGCTGGGACCTTCGATACCCCACTTCGACCAGCTGGGCGCCTTCCACCTTGTGACAGGAAGGGCGCCTTCCACCTGGTGCTGGCGGGCCATACTTACAACAAGCTGGGTTTCAAGAGGCAACAGCTTCAACTCCAAACAGCTTGATCAGATAGTGTTTTTACCTGTTTTTGTCCTTTTTTTCAACCATGTTTGAGTGAGGCTTGCGCTTTTCAGCTATCAAGCTGTCGTGGACCTGTACATAGGAAAGGGATGGTCTTCCGATCATGTTGCAATGCAGCTTTCAACCCTTCGACTAGTTAAACTTTGGAACACATTTGCCTTGAAATTGGAATTGAAATTTGACATGGCAGGTTTCACATCACTGACCACTTTCATTTCACGATGGCACGACAAGCATTTGGCCAGTATCCCAGCTGTGTGTGTGATGTGGATCCAAAGCTAGTTTGGGATGTTTGGGATATTTGGGCTTGTTTCATCTTGTTTCCTGCAGGATTGGGCCTCAAAGACGAGTTCGGGCCCCAAAATCTCCATTTCTCAGCAAGACGAAAGGACAGACATGCGTGCAGAAGATGGCAGTGTTTCCAGACGTTTTGTATCCTGTGTAAAAGACAGAAAGTTAAATTACCGACGAGAACGTTGTATCATCCAACAAACTGCGGAGCAGCGCTTAGGTCCTTATCCCACTTCTTGAAACTCCTGAATTCCTTTGCAGATGCTGACAAATATGTTTGCATTCAGGCCTGTAGCTTTTGTGTTTTTTCAGCCTGACTTTTTTCTCAGTCATTTCCTGTACACGAGGCGCTGTACTTAACAGGACTTAACACATACCAGACTTTTGTTGTTTTCGACTCTGAACAGGCAGAACGAGAGAACACTTACATCAAGGACCGTGTATGATTTCTATGGGAAGTGGAGTTTCTTGCTGCGCAATTATATAAATCACAAGAGTCTGCGATCTCTCGGGCAGTGAGGGTGTGCTGAAAGTAGCATGCAGTAGAAACCTTTGAAAAAACTCCAAATCGGTTTACCAAATGCGTTTTTCCATCTAAATTCAATGATTCAATCAATACTCCCTTTGCCCTCCAGTCAAGCTTTGTACCATGTAGCACGATAGGATGCATCACCCCTGAGTTCACCCTCCAGAGTTGATGAGTAAAGCCGTCCTTTTGATCCTTTTGATCCTTTTGCCTAGAGGGCTTTTTTGTTTCACGGAATATTCAGGTTTGCTTCCAAGAGTAGCTTGTTTGAGAAAGGGCAGAATATTGTTTGCCTGTGAAGGTTTGTTTGGAAATGGACGGGAGCGTAGTGATGAGAGACAAGTTCTCTTTGAATTGTCCTGCAAACCTCGTTCTTGCAGGAGTTTCTCTATGTCTTGAAGGATTGGGTTCAAAAGCTCAAGTCCCAGTTGTGATTTGTGATAGGCAACGGGCTTGTCGACTCATTCAACGACATGTCAACCGTTAAACGAGGAAGTGCAGTGAGTCGGAGATCGAGTCAGTCGAGCTTCAGGCTCTGAGTTTTCCCATGTTTTCCCAGTGGCCATCACTCCATCAACTGTCAGTCCTGGCCAGATCCCCTGCATTCAGCCGGAAGTTCGGCTTCGATTGCCGGATGATCAGCCAATGGCGACAGCTATGCCGGGTGCTGCTCCATCCTCAGGAACTTCCAAATCCTTCCAGTGTCCTGATCTTGATGCTGTGCTGAACCTGGAAGGCTGCTACGTCTCCGAAGAACGGAGATGAGGTGCGCGCGCTTGTGTTTTTTTCAGAGTCAATGTGGATTGGAAAATGATGATAACTTCTATATAACTTGTATAACCCACGATTAACGAGGTACATTACCTAGAAAATCCTAGAAATAAGAAGCACGCAGTATTTCATGGGATGGGGGCATTCTTAATGGCAGTTTCAACTCTTTATTGTTCTTTACTTGTTTCAACCCAGAAACCTGCAGTCTCAGTATCATCCCAACAGCTCCAAAGGCAGCCACGTCTGCCTCCTGGGAGCTGCTGGGAGAGAAGATGTTGCCCACCATCAGCCCGGATGAGCCTCGATGGCATTTGAACATTCTATCGAAACTAAAACTTGACATATGAAACTGTTTTGAGTCAACACTATTGATTGCTGCGGCTCTATCAATTCAGATCTTCCAATATTCATGTTCAGTAGCTTGATCTGAGCTATCCATTCAGATTTTTGCAGGACCGGATGGAATTGAATTGGCGACAAAGGTGCTATGGCAGGGGGAAGATTTTCAGTGTCGCTATCGCTTCAATGACAAGACTTCGCACTTTGCAAGTGGCATTTGGCTGTGTCTGAACATGGGGTATACATGGGTATACGGTATACGGTATACCCTTGAAGTGGCAATTTTTGTAGGGAGAGTTATGACATGTTATGACTACAAAAATAGCCATTGGATTTTGGAGTACGCTATTTTCAGACAAACCAACTCAGAAACTAGAGGCACGTCTGTGGTCGTAGCGCCAGGTCAGATGCTCGCATTTTTGACACTTTGCGTCGTGTGACCACAGTGGGTTCTGAGGCACAGCGAGAAATGGTCAGACACCGGTAATCTTGTAACATTCAGATCAAAGGAAAAGAATACGTCCTTGCAAAGTAGCACTGACGTGCAGATTGCGCGCACTTTTTTCCTGGGTAGGTTTCAGTGGAGCTCACCTTGTCCCTAGCTCACAAGTTGCTGCGAGTCTGCGAGTGCGTACATAATTTGTCTTGTCTGTCTAAAATTATCTAAAGGCCTTGTTCATGACTCTCTTCATGATTCCAAGGACGAATCCAATGCGAGTGAAGTGGGAGATGCGAGCAGTCCGGCTAACCGGAGAGCTTCAGGAGAAGTGACTTGTTGCACTCTGCTGCATGAATCAAGTTTCAAAACCTTGATGTGGCAGGACGACACAGGAGTCTGTGATGATGTTGGATGCTGAAACCCATATGGACTTTGTGTCATGTTCAGAACTTGTGCTGAGGACAAGACACCTAAACTTGATGTCAACCTTGAAACTTCCTCGAGATAGTGTACCGCTGCTGTCTGAAAATTAAGGCGGTGATGTTCCCCTCTCAGGCACTGATTGCTTGTTTTCCGCCAGCCGTCTTTGCGAGTTGCTGATGTCAATTGCAGTGCAATTTCTGCGAGGATGTGACCTTGGGCGCACTGGAGTCCAGAACCATCCAACTCACAGCGGTGCCCAAAAAGGAGGTCCAGCTGCTGCAGCTGTGCTCCACAGCACCAGATGATGTGTGCAGATCTGACAACTGGCAGGGTTTGTTGAAGATCCGGAGCGTGACCTGGGGCATTTTTGACTGCCAACAGGTGGGGTGTGAGCGAAACAGCGTGCGTTGATAACCCAAGGAGCAAAACAATTTGTCTTAGGAAATAGGATAGACTCTACACCATTCTATGCCTAGACATGTAGAGAAAGACAGCATGTTTGAGTTTCGAATTCGTGGTGTGACACTCTTGAAGTAGGCAACTCCTGGTGCGCAACCCTGGTGCCCATTTTCAAAAGTGGCAGGTGATTTGTGACAGGCCCTTCCAGTTCAAAGGCAGACGGCTGAGAAACACGCCATGGGCCCAGACAGCAGCATCAATTGTGCTATGGCAGGTTAGTGTGCCATCCCATCAAAAGGGCGGTAACGTACCCACTATCTATATATAACTATAACGACCCCTACCTTAAGAAATTATATAATTCAGGTGGACTGTTGGTTATCAGATTATTATTTTTTTCGATTTTTACTTTTTCCAGTTTTTGTTTTTTCGAGAACTATATTTTGGTGGATTAATTAACCACACTTTTCGAGGATTAAGTAAGTTAGGTGTACCCAAAACAATTTAGTCTGAATGTTTGAGACTGAGAGTGGGACCACCTCGAATTATATAGTTTGTCATGATTTGTCTATAATCCTCTTACATAGGTCTTCCCGGCAACGTGTCACCAAGAACCCCAGATCTGCTTACTGGGGTTGGTTGTGGTCAATGGGATGGACACTGGAACCGCCGCGCAACATCATATAAATGTATATACATATACATATATATGTATAATTATATATATACATACACATTACATTACAGTGTTGTAGGTTGGTTGGGAAGGGTCTCACTGTTGTTTGAAACATGTCTGTGTTAGATTGATAAATATTCTTGATGCCAATTTTGGCTCAAGATTATTTACTGTATCTTGTTTTCTTTTCCCCACCCTCTTCCACCCTGAGCCCCTCTGCGGGGTGATGGGTATAGATGCTAAGTGTCTTTGACCTTAAGCAACTTGTACTTGTGAGTTATATCTTTTTCTGTACTCCAGGCACAACTACCCATTGTTACTTTGTGACAATGTTATGTCAGACTCTCTCTTCATGCCGAGGGAAACACAACGTGTGATGAGGCTGCGTTCTGCAGGAAAAAGAGTGAATATCTATGCCTGCATGTTTCTATATACATACATATGTAGATATATGTTTGCCACGGGTCAAGATGTTGACACATTTCGTTCCAATAACAAAAACACTTTACAAGTCCTTTTTGTGAAACAATATTTGCAACATTTTTTCATCCAGTGACATGTTTTAATCACTGAAACATGTTTTTTGCTGAACAGATTTGAAAGAAGAAACAAGAAATGACTTATCTTTTGTGTTCATGTTTTTGTGTATCAAAACTAACTTTCAGCTATTTTGATAGAATATATATATATATTATATATATGTTCCTTTTTTTATATTTGTTTTAGTTTTGATTCTTAAAACTGTTTTTTTAAAACATTATTGTTTTGTTCAAAGCATATACCTTTTCTATCCTTTTCTACCATAAAATATGTTCAAAGTCATTTTTTCCCTCATTTCCACCTCTTCTCTCACCCGTTGTGGCGTCTCGGTGTTGTTCCCGCCTTGTCGTTCCTCGTTGTGTTCCCCTATGTTGGGCATTGCTCACCTGTTGTATCTTCCCCGTTATGTGTCCCCTATTGTGTGTCCTCCTTGTTTCGCTTGGCTTCCCCAGCTCAGAGACGCCTAGCCTGGAGGAGCCCGAATTTTAATTCATAACTGGGTCCTGAACTAGTACACCCGCCCCCAAGCTAATTTTGAGCGCCGAAGGAGGGCACGCCAATGATTTGACGCCAGTGATTTATTTTCATACAGAGAACGCAGTAAGGCGGAATGAGGACATGGAAAATGATCATAACAACATGGAAAGGAACAGTTTCCACAACATTTGAAAATCATTCCAAAACATTCCATGAGTGATGATTTTGGGCTATATAAGACGAGACCGATTTCTGCGCAAAATCACCTACTCCCACCTTCACCCGAATGAGCAAGAGGATATCTTTGATATTTTTTGGCATTAATGAGAAGAAAATATTTAAAGCCCACCTATACAAAGAAGAAACTGCTAGTACCTCCACTCTTAAATTATTTTGCCCGAAATTAATCTAGGTGGGTGGGAAGAGTACCATTTATTATGTCCAGGTGGGGGGTTAGTGCTGACGAGCAAATTAATTGCGGTACGTCGAAGCAGTAGGGGCCCTTGGATTCATACCTTAATTAATTGAAGTGGGGGACCACTCTGGAGACCCTTTAGGAGGTAGTCATTATATATAATTGTATATATAAATATAAATACCCATGAACAAACTGTATCCTCTATAAAATGAGAGGGGTCGAGGCATGCCATATTTCGTTTTATGTACCTCCAGCTGCAGCCCTTCAGGGGGTCACCCACCCTATTTTTATAGTGATTTTAAGTAATTAGCTGAAATCTGTCGAGATTTGTTCAGGTTTTTGCAGTGCAGCCATGATCCAGGTTGTTCTTATCTACAGCCATTGATCATTTGATCAAAGATGGCCCGGGTGGGGGCACAACCTCCGAAAGGGAGCCCGGCCCTGTGCCATGTCAAGACATGTTCAGGCAAGATGGGCAAACCATTTCTTTGCATTCCTAGATTTGGGAAAGTGTGCAAGTAGCCCACATTAAAGCACAGTAGCCCACATTATGCCATCTTGTGGGTTACTGGCGCAAATTGCCAAATCTTAGCCACCATAAAATGGCTAGCTTCAACCCACCAACCCAATATGAAATTGGTGATTGGGTTGAATTCCCAGCTTTCCAGGCAATTTCAACTCAAAAGATCCAAAAGGATGGCAGGTGCTGGCTCAATCACCAATTTCATGGTAGGTTGAAAGGTTGAGGCCAGCGTTTTTGTGGTGGCAGCACTTGGAACTCATACAAGTAGCCTACACTGTTCCAAAATTGCTCATTGAAAGGCCAGGGTTGGCACTGGGCGGCATTGGAAACAAAATGAAGGAATGACAAAATGGTTTAGTTCTAAGTGAGGTGCTGAAATCTGTTGACTTGTGCATTGACCATGTGGAAAGGGAACCAGTCATTTTATAGAGAATTTATAGGATAATTTCCAGGTGTTCTGGGGTCAGGCCCCTCAAAATATAGTGTTTTTTGGGTTGGGGCCACTCGTTTTATAAGCAATTCCTAGTCATTTTATAGTGGAAACCATTTTGGAGCTTTTTGAACTTGTTCATGCTTCTTTGTTGTCAAGTGCAGAGTGGAAGACACTGGAACGTGGTTGCCTTTCCTCTCAAGTGTGGAGGGGGGGAGGGAAATTTCATGCAATGTGGAAGTCACATCATGAGAAAGCGGGGTAGGAGTAATGAACCAGATAGTGGTGTGGATGTCACATCTCTAGCTGGCCCCGCCTATGATCGAGAGCTGGATGTCGCTCTAATGCTAGGTAGAAGCCATGGTGGCCCGCGTTATCCTTGGGAGGTCAATGGGTTTCTTCGCGATGTGCTGGGACCGCGTGACATTCCTTGGCTTAGGCCGCCGACATCTCTGAGAAGTCTTTCTTGGGCACCACCGCCTGTAGCCCCTACTGGCAGCTCATCCATGTCCCAACCTGCAAAGCGAGAGTTCGTGAGGCGTGTAGCTCTTGAAGCTGTGCAAGATAGCCCTGATTTCGAAAGAGATGCAGCACTCATGAGATGGTGTGAGATTCTCATGATAAACCCGGAGAAAACAAAGACAGGACGAATGCTGATATCTTGTGCAGGTGAGGCCCAAAGAGTGCTCCAATCCCTGCAAGACACTTTTAGAACGAAGGCAACTTCCACTTTGAAGATCAGAGTAGGTTCTATCAGTCTCTACGTGGGATGGCACCGCCTTAGCTATCCTGATGATGATATTTTCCCTATTGATGAAGCCAAGGCCTATGAGTACGCTTGCATGTGTCGTGACACAAAAGCATCAGCATCACGTGTGGACACTTTTGTTAGTACCCTCAGGTTCCTGGGAGAATTTTTGGAATTTGAAGGTGCTTCAGCTGCAACTACATCGCCACGTGTACAAGGAGCTAGTCATCAGATGCTTCTGGCCAGGCCTCCGCGCATACGGGCTCGTATGCTGACTATTGGCATGTTGTGCTGGTTAGAGATAGCTTGCTTTGCTATGCATCATGCTTTTGATCGCATGGTAGCTGGACTTTGCATGCTTTGTTGCATGGGTCGGCTGAGATGCTCAGATGCTAACAGAATCCGGCATGCTGGATTGCTGGGAAGGTTTTTGGAGGGCTCGCTTACAAGAACCAAGACAGCGCTGAGCAAAGAAAAGGCAACTTCTTTTATTCCTTTGGTGGTGCCTGCTTTTGGCATTCTGGGAAAGCCTTGGCTACTGGAGTTCCTTCAAGCGAGACGCGAACTGGGCTTGCGCGAGTTGCCGACTTTAGCATCAAGAGCGCATGACTTGTCTTTCGTTCTGGTGCCTGATATGATCACTATGGGACTGGACAATCAACGGCCTATGAGTTCGGTCGAGCTTAGCGATCGCATGCGAGCACTTCTTTCCAAAGGTTTCAACAGTGACGATCTTCAAGGCCTGAGCAGCCACTCTCTGAAAGCTACATTGCTGGCGTACATAAACATCTACGGGTGTGACTTGGGAACCAGCGAGCTTTTGGGCCACCATGCAAACCGCATGCATTCTTCTGCTCTCAATTACACCCGCGACAGCATGTCTGCACCTATTCGTGAACTGGTCAAGATGTTCAGAGACATTAGCGCGGGGGTCTTCAACCCATGCGCCCCCAGGGACCAGACTTTTCCTGCAGTTGCTGACAGGAAGCAGATCACCGCTCTTTTCTTTCAGGAGACGGGCCTGCACATGATGGATGCTGCGCAGATCATGATGGATGGCGTAGTTTTTGCCTCCCACACCGACAGGTGCAAAGCCACTGACAGGCTGGTGAGGTTGCGTGCTGACTATTCTTTGCCGACAATGGGGTTGGTCACCTACCTCACTGATGATGAGGAGATGGCCCTGCGAGGTGTAGCAAGTGCGGACAGTCCACAGACACTGGGTCAGACAGTAGCGTTACAAGCTCCTCCGATTCGGAAGAGGAGCTCGAGCAGGAAGCTGGATTGGCGGCCATTGACCTGTTGCCGACTGGCAGTATGCGAGCTCAACCATCTGATCAGTGTGATACCATGTTAATGTATAGGCATAGTAGAACCAAGATGTTGCACTGCGGACATGTCTCCTCAAGTGAAAGAACTGGGTGTGGCCGACAGTTGTCTGAGGCCTACTATCGCTTTAAAGGCGACAGTGACCCAGTTTTCCCAAAGTGCGAGATTTGCTTTGGCAGTGTGCAGGTTTGACCAGGTCGCAGCTGGAGGTCAGCAAAAACAAAAAGAATTATTTTTGTCATGAAGGGCTGAGCATGAAGTGGCAGGGTGACAAGCACTTTGTTTTTTCCTGGGTAAGTGCACACCCTTTCATGCTGGCGTGAGGCGGAAAGTGCCCATGGGATGTCCATGGGATCCGACGATGTGTCGACAAAGGACCGATGTGGTGGAGAGAGACATGTCAGAGTCAGTGCATAGAGCATGGATGTCATGCGCAGATTAGCTGGCACCGTTAGTCAGTTTCACTATGTGATATATATAGTGTGTTATAGTGTCCTGGCTTATATGATAGAGATTATGTTTTATAAGTGCGCACGGATACTTGTCTGAATTTGGCATGTTTTTCTGTTTGTTTGTAGGTTTTCTTTCTTGTACTTGCAGTTACGAAGTTAGTTCAGCTCGGCTGCATGACTTGACGCGATAACAACATTGCATGAAGCTGGTTACGGTGAAGCTTGGTGTACTTGCACTTACTATAAATATATACGTTATACGGTCTGATACTGAGCAGTTTTCAGCAAGTTTTGTTTTCCTTGCTTTCACTTGTGCAATTGCGATGTCATTCCAGCTCCGCCTTGGTTGCATGGCATGTGTTGATGTCACTTCTCACTTGGTTTCACTACACTCTGTTGCGATGTCATTTCAGCTCAGCTTTGATTGCATTGCACGTGTTGAGTACCACTGATTCAGACGCTGCACTGCTGTTTTCAAAAGTGTTTTTCGGCAGTCTTGGATCGAGACTGTGCGCTTAGGTAAATATGTTGGACTCAGAAGCAGTCTTCGCTTCTCGGGCCGCTGAAATAGGTCTGAACAACGCTGAGATCAGTACTGCTGCTACTCTCAGTGTCAACACTCTGGGGCGATTTGCATTTGCTGCAAACTATGTGCCCGGCCAAGCAGATGAAGGACCGCTGATGACTTTAATTGGCAAGGTGTGTGCTCAGGACCCACCGCCAGAGGCGCGGGTACCCTTAGTCAGAAGGCTCTTCTACGAGGCTTACACCATGGCCAATGCGGACATGAGGGCAAGGCTAGAAAAACGAGATGACGACCCGCCTCGAAAGCTAGCTCAGGCGGAGCGGGCCAGTAGGTACACTGACCAAGTGGCACGGTTGACTGGCCTGGACATTTCAGGCGAGTTGGAGCCAAGCCACGCCCTTGTGGACCTCGTTTTTCAGATGATTGAAGAAAACCAGTTGAAGTATATCCGCTGGGAGCAGTGTACAAAACGAGATCAGGAGTTGATGGGCATCAAATGTGATCCTACATGGAAGCCTGACTCCCAGGGGGTCATCCGAGAAGTCAAAGTGCAACAGGAAGTTCGGGCAGACACTTCTTCTGACCTCAGGCTGAAGTACGCTCTGCAGAGGCGAAGTTTGGCAATTGACCAAGGACGTCTCTGTGATTATGACAAAATGGAAAAGTGGAGTTGCATCCTCTTGGAAGCCTACTCCAAGGCGCCCATTCCCGGCTATCAACGGGTCACCATCGAACAGATCCAACATGCAGATATGGAAATGTTCAAGTACTTGATCAAGAATACCAGAGGCGGAGTTCGTCCCACCGCTGGTAAAGCCCCCATTGAAACCGCACTTGACACAGCCTTGACCTTGCCAGAGATCCGTCTTCACCTTCAACCATTGCCTGCTGGTGCGAAGCGGAAGCTTGATGATGAGGACTCCACCTCCAAGCCTTCCAACATGGACAAGAAGCAAAAGCCGCCTTCGCAATCCTCTGAGACAGAAAGGTTGCGGCGCCATGTGGAAAATCTACAAGGCCAGCTCAGGAATGTCAAAGGTGGCAAAGGGCGAGGCAAGGGCAAGTCCAAGAAAGGTGGTCAGCTGCATTCCCCAATCCGGATGCCAGCCGAATTAATCGGTCAGAGGGCTACCACAGCCTCCGGCCAACCAATTTGCTTCAGCTATAACATGAATGGCTGCCGCGGAGGCAAAGATGGAGAACGTTGCAGCAGGGGCTACCACATTTGCTCCAAATGTGGTGAAAACCACAGCCAGCGCGACTGCGCTGTGCCTTGACAGGCACCCTCGAGAAGAGGCTTTCAAGTATCACCGCCTCCTGCTCCTTGTGGAGGCGCAAGTGAGTTTCATGGAGCTCCGCTGAGCTCTTTATGTTTCATTGAATTATGTGCAGGTAGTGCAAGACTCTCTTCGATGATGCGCGCAAGAGGCTTTCAAGTGACGGCAGTGGATCACAAGACCGACACAAGCCCGAACATCCAATACTCGCCATTGACCTAGCTGCAGATGATTCGATGGGCCTCCTGCAATCCATGCTCAAGATGCGGGGAAAGCTCTTTTACCTTCACTGCGCGCCGCCCTATAGCACTGCAAAACGCGCACGTGGGCGCAAGCGGGCCCGCAGGGTTCGCCGACAGAGAGTTCACAAGACACGGCCGTTGAGAAATGCTAAGTACCCACATGGTTTCCCTCAGCTCAGAGGCATCGACTTACTGCGAGTCACCATCGTCAACTCCATTTACCGCAATGTTGCAAAGCTGTGTCGTCTTGCTTTGGAAAATGGTGCCTTTATCTCTGTTGAGAACCCGTCAGAATCCTGGATGTGGTCTACTAGGCTCTATGTTCCGATTTTCAGCTGCAAGCCGTTAAATTTCAACATTGCGCTCATGGAGGACAGCGCCCAAAATGGAGCACCTTCCTTACAAATGCAGAATGGCTTCGAGGCCTCAGTGCAGTGTGTCCTCAAGATCATGTTCATAAATCGTGGAGTGAATATCGATGTAACACCAAGTTGGAAGCTGAATATCCGTTGTTGCTATGCAGCCGCATTGCTGACGCAGCTTTTCAACATGCAGTTTCTCTTGGGTGCCAACCAATTGAACCCCCTGCTAAACGACAGAAATCTTCCAGTACTCCTCGTGTCATGGCTCAAGCAGGGCGGCAGCCACGTGGCAACAAGTACCCAGAACTCATCTCAGAGTTCAGGGAAACCCTGGAGGTGCCTTGGCCATGGCCGAAGCCGTCTCAAATCCCACGGATGCTGTCCGCGTCCGAAGCTGAGCATTTGCACTTAACTCAGCCAACGAAGCTCCTCTCATGCATGTCAGTGGGGTCTACACGGCATGAGAGTGGACATGAGCCAGCATTTCTGGCAGCAAAGCTTGGTGTTTTTAGGTCACCAGATGAGTTTGTCGATCTGGCGTGCAACTTGCAACATCCGTTTGACAACAGTTCTGGTGTTTCTGATGACCTCAAGCGAAATTTGTTTTTCCTGCTTACTGCAGGGCCAGCTGCGGTCCAGGACAAACGGGACCAAGTGCTAGGACATTACAGAAGACGTAAGCAGGAGCTTGAGAGCCATGAGCTTTCCATCCACGAAGCCTTGCAGCCACATCGCGAGCGTGTTGTAGCTGGAAAGAGTTTTCTGCTTTTTGATGAGATGTGTAAAGATGCAGGTGTTGTCGATCACGGTTTGTTAGATTTGATGGTGTCTGGTGCCCCCTTGATTGGTGAATCTGGTGTCAGCAATCTTTTTGAGTTGGAAGACAACTTGCCAGCTATGAGCCCGGCCCAGCTCATGAAGTCTTCACGGTGGAGCAGGCGTATGTTGGCCGGCAGGTGCTCCAACAGCCAAACTGATGAGGTGGGCCGGGCTGTGTGGCAAGTTACAATGGACGAAGTATCAAAGGGGTGGCTCGAAGGACCGCTTTCTGAAGCACAGGTGACGAGCAGACTTGGGCCCTTGTTTGTTGCTTCTCCGCGTTTTGGCTTGGTTCAGAGCGACAAGATTCGGCCGATCGACGACATGTCGGTCAGCCTTGTCAATTCTGCTTTTGCTGCTAGATACAAGCTGGACTTGGATGGTGTGGATAGTATCTCAGTTCTCTGCCGCACGGCCGTGGAAGCAGTGCAAGCTGATAGGCAGGTTGTTTTGGAACTGGAAGATGGTTCCCAACTGCGTGGTGTGTTGCACGAGTCTTTGTCAGTATCCCAAGCAAGATCACTTCATGGGAGAACCTTGGACTTAGAAGCTGCCTACAAGCAAATGTTGGTCCGAGCGTCCTCCTTGTGGACTAGTGTGCTACTGGTACCAGATGGCCGAGGAGGAAAAGGCTACTTCATCTCCCAGGTCCTGCCGTTCGGCGCTTCTGCGTCAGTCTTTGCATTTAACAGGGTGGCCCGTGCCATACACTGCATAGGTGTCAGGCTGTTCGGACTGATGTGGCTGAATTACTATGACGACTTTCCGCAGGTTGATCTATGCTGTGCTGCCGACGCGGCTATGGTTACTGCGGAAGGATTGCTTGACCTGTTGGGCTGGAAGTTTTCGCAAAAAGAATCCAAGAGGGCTCCAATGGCCACAAAGTTTTCAGCTCTGGGGGTGGATTTCGATCTCTCCTCAAGCGCAGAGGGCATGGTGCTTGTTGCCAACAAGCCTTCAAAGGTTCAACAAATCGTTTCTCTGTTGAATGACATATTGGAAACAGGCCACTTTCCCCCGACTGTAGCCACTTCTTTGAGAGGGAGGCTGCAATTTGCTGAAAGCCAAACCTTTGGTAGAGCTGTAGCGTTGCACATGAGAAGTTGCCAGCAGCGTGCCACGGGAGCTATGGGTGGTGCAGAGCTGGACCAATCCATGCGTGAGGAATTGCTGTGGGCCAAGAATTTCGTGCAACTCAGCCCGCCGAGGGTCCTGAAGACACACATCAGGCAAAATCGCGTGTTGATTTTTACTGATGCTGCGCTGGAAGATGACGATCAGAACGCTGGCGTGGGAATGGTTGCGTTTGTTTGGAGATCTGGTCAGTTGAAGCACCGGTTCTTTTTCGCAGAAAGTGTACCTGCCGATGTGTTAAGGGACCTTCAGGTAAAGACACCCAAAGTGATAGCTGCCCTGGAGCTCCTTGCTGCTGTCATGGCTGTGGAGTTGCTTCAAGAGTGGATGACTAACTCTAGGACCTTCATCTTTATAGATAACGAGGCTGCGAGGGCCAACCTCATCTCTATGTATAGCCCTGTGAAGGTCCAAGCAAAGCTGCTGCAGAGGTTGCATGACATCATGATGCATGGATCAATGTTCGTCTGGACCTGTAGGGTACCTTCGGTTAGCAACGTAGCTGACGCTCCGTCTAGGCAGGAATTTAAACAGTTGCTGTGTACAGGCTTTGTTCGTTTGACCCCCAGTTGGCACAGATGAGAAACGAAGCATTGCACCCATGTGTGAAGTGGGGTGAGCCAGGCATGGGTGTTTTGTGAACGATGTGTTCAGATGCGTCAGATGTTGACTTCACTTGCAGATGTTGCAACCGATGCGTCAGATGTTGACTTCACTTGCAGATGTTGCAACCCATGTAAAGGCCCTTGTGCGAGATCTGTGGCAACCCCAAGACCAAAACGTGCGACCGAAGGTGCGATGGTTTCTCATCCGTTTGTCTTTTTGATTTTCTGTTGATGCTGATGTAGCATCTGTAGTGAATGGCAACCCTAACGAGGACAACAAGGAGCTTTTTGAACTTGTTCATGCTTCTTTGTTGTCAAGTGCAGAGTGGAAGACACTGGAACGTGGTTGCCTTTCCTCTCAAGTGTGGAGGGGGGGAGGGAAATTTCATGCAATGTGGAAGTCACATCATGAGACCCCCCCAAACCCACACCATGATGTGCCTTCTGGGTGGCCAGGCAAGGAGCCAGGCATGGGTGTTTTGTGAACGATGTGTTCAGATGCGTCAGATGTTGACTTCACTTGCAGATGTTGCAACCGATGCGTCAGATGTTGACTTCACTTGCAGATGTTGCAACCCATGTAAAGGCCCTTGTGCGAGATCTGTGGCAACCCCAAGACCAAAACGTGCGACCGAAGGTGCGATGGTTTCTCATCCGTTTGTCTTTTTGATTTTCTGTTGATGCTGATGTAGCATCTGTAGTGAATGGCAACCCTAACGAGGACAACAAATTACTAAAAAACGACTGGCAAGACCCTCCCCGGTGTATGTTCATAGGGATATATATATATATATATACATACCAATTTTAAAAAGGAATCCCTGGGTGATTGGCGATGACCGCACCCCACCATGTTTTGACCATCACAATGGCACAATGGCACAGTGGCACAAGTTTTCATCTTTGCCAAGGCTTGAGCAGCGGGCATCACAGAGCGGTGTTTACAGTGATGATCTCCGTCTCGAAATCAAGGAGCGATTGATTGGACCATGGGAAAGGGGTGACCTTCAGAGGACTTCAAGCGACAGACTTTTCACTTGTGCCAGGTTCGATCCAACAAGCCTCGCTTGTCTGCTTGCCTTGAAGGTTCGCGTGCAACGGAATTAGACGATCCTCGAAAGATACAGATGAACGGTGAGAATCTCCTGATTTGCATGGTGTGGAGTCTCACACCAGCTATTCTTAGCACAAACCGGCACTGTTCTCCTATTGTTTTTACAAAGCATTCTGTTGCAGCGTGAGGCTTGCCAGAGTTGCATGGGACTTAGAAACTGTTCTGCTTTGAAGGATACCAACATGACAATTGTTACACAAGCTGAGTTGAGGAGAATGGATGGGACGCAAGAAGCGCAATTGCTACAAGGCATTGAGCCCACTATGTTGAAGTCATGTTGAAGTCATATGGTCACAGGATGTTAGGAAAAGTACGGCGATTTGGTGATTGCACATATTTGAGTTCACCAGGTGAGCTCCACAAATGCAGGCCGCTGTGGCTTATTTGTTGGCATACCGTTTGTGCTCTTCAGAAACCGCACCTTCGCAAAGCCTGCTGAATGTTTCTGCTTGATGGGAAAGTAAAGCCTCCGCGTGATGCTCGCAAATCCGTCCACTGAGGGGGTTCTCTCCTTGTTTCATGACATGGAAACTGTTTGCCTGGCGCTGCCAGTCTCGTCATGAGAAATGTGGATTGCCCTTTGGCGTTTCTACACATATCGACGTCGCTTGGAGAGAACTCAGCGCTTCGGTTCATTGTTGTTTCAGGTTTGTCACTTTGTCACCTCGCTCAGGTCTCATCCCAACTTCGTTGCCTTTGATCGACCTGAGGGGAATGAGGAGATGGGTGAGATGGGAACGTCATTCGGTGGAAGTTTTTGCTTATCTAATATATCATATATTTATACATCAAACATTTTCATAACAATACGTCTGAAATTTGAACCGGAGAAGCGTACGCTGGACGAGTTGCAGCTGGCAGGACCTCAGCATCGACTTCAGGGACGAGGCTAGCCGAATATCCGGAGAGTTCAAGGATGACTACCATTTGGCCATCTGGGTCTGGATGAACATGAATCTCCAAAACGCACGGTAGAGTGGGTAGAGATGGGTAAAGTACATGATGGCAACACCCGGACATAATCCAATTGGAACACAATTTGGAGATGTTCACCGGCTTTCCAGGCTGATTCATCCACCCCTAGTCAAAGCAGTCACCAGTTTCCGCTTGTTCCTTGCAGGGCATTCGACTGAAAGGAACCTTCCCGAAGGAACTTCGCGTTCCAGGTGTGCTTCTCAGTTCAGTGATCACTATCACAAGCCTGGAATCCGCTATCAAAACATAATCGAGAGTCAGGCAAAAGAAAACCGTGTGTATTCACAATACTTGACAGCACACGCCTGAGGGGCACTGGTCCTCCACAGTTTAATTCTGCTGGATTTTGTTCCTCAAGATTTTGGGTAGTAAGAATAGAAAAAGGAGAAGAGCAGCCAGAAACCGCCATTCTCGGCTTTTCGCTCAGCTCAGAAGCCAACAAAACGGTCCCTACTTGAGGCCCAAGACTCAAATTTTCGGAAACATTGTAGGAACGATTTGCCCAATTCTTCAGAGCGCTTTGTAATGACCAAAAATATCTAATCAACGTAAAAGAAAGTGAAGCAACCAGAATGTAAGATATGTAGGACATTCTGGGGCAAACATCTGCCTAAAGTTTTCGAATTGGTGGGCTTTATGAAGGCAAGATCAACAAAATGCACCATGGTTGCAAGTGGTAGAAAGGCGAAAGAAGATCATGGGCCCTTAGAAAAGATCTCTGCCAGATTTTGTCCTTGAGGTTTTGTGCACTTTGAAAAAACAAGGGAAGAGCTAGAAGAAACCACCAGTTGCAATTTCTACAATTCAGAAATAAACAAAACCGTCCCTATTCTAAGGCCTGAGACTCATGTTCGGATCATTTTGGGCACATTGGTACAATTTTTTGAGCTTGGGGGCTAGATGAAAGCAAAATTATGGAACTTTCCGTCGAACTGAAAGCAAGTTAAAGGCAAAGAAGATGATTCATCAGAGTCATAGGCGGTTTATGGCGGTTTACTGTACAACACGCCAGATGGGGGACTGTCCCTTTGGAGTACTCTGGAGGGAAACTCTGCTAGTCCTTTTTTCCATAGTTTTGACACCTGAAAACTTCGTGGTGATTAGACTTGCAACCGCAGAAGACAGAGTAGTAATTATATGATTTTAGCACTTTGCAGCTGCGCCAAGTTCTCCTGTGCATCAATGCTCGTGGTTTGCATGCGCTGCGCTATTTGCTTTTGGCAGAGGCTCGGACCACTCTCTAGACTTTTGAAGATAGAAATTTTAATGTCCATTGATTGCGTCATTATGATCTTGAATTCCTGGCACGGCTCTTCATGAAATGCAAGGCGGTTGGTGATGGGATCAAGAGTGAGCAGAGGCAGTGGATCACCTTGGAGGAATGGCAGGGCTGCGATGTTCTGCACATGTTGCACATCGGAAGGTGTCCGCTGCGTCGTGTGATACCGCTGATACCGCATTCTGTCAAGTTGCGTTCTTTGCAGCCTCACAAACCTTTCGCCAAAGTTGATGCTCTCACCGAAGCTTCCGAAGATGCCAAAGATCATTCTTTCTCTGTACTAGGAACTTTGGCCCCACTATTCCCTGCAAGTCATCACATCGTTCACATGTCATGGAGTCGATAGGCCCTATAGGCGACTCCCGTCCTCCAGAGGAGCTGACTCGCGTGGAGCCAGCCCTTTCCTTGAGTGCCAGGCATCAGAATTGAGCGCCTGTTTGATATCCAGGCATACTGTACTGCATATATATATAATTATATACATATACTGTATATACAATTATATATATTATGATTATATATGATTATGATACTAGATATGTTCAAATTTATCTGATATTGTTGTTGCACATCAAATGCTACAAATGTTCTCCACAAATGCAGTATCAAACAAGCGGCTTTGGACTTGCCGGAGGCCGAGCCCATCATATGCCTCCGACGGACCGGTGCACGGTGGATAGGGTTGAGTTAGTCGACAGAACCTGTTCTGATTTGACGAAGCATATTCCTGAACATTCTGAAGTTTGCTGTGGGTGGAGATGCACATGATTCACATGATTGTATGATTCACTCCGATCCATACTTGTTCACAGAATTACATTGGTTTCCAGGACGAATACTGTTCAACTGCCACTTGGAGAATAAAGCTGCTGTGCCTCTTCAGGCAACAACTGCACATTGATTCTGTGGTGGTTCCTTTATCCATGTGCTGCGTATGTCCCTATCCCTGTCTTGAGTATTTGCAGGTGCAGCAAGTGCAATGTTTCTCGGGTACATCGCAATTGCAATTCCATGCCTGTGGTTTTCAAGGCAGGCATTTGCTGGATTTCAGCAGGTAGTGTTCTTCAAGTGCCATATGTAAAGGAAGAACAAGAAGAGTCTGGAATGATCTGGAATGTCTGAAACGGGGTCAGGCAGAGAAATTGTGGTTGAGCCTGGTCAAATGGACCGCGCCTTAGACAGCCACAGACTTTTGACAAAAAAAGGTGTTTTTGTTTTTTGAGATCTTTTGAGACTTTTTGAGTCCCTTCAAGCATGGCATGATCAAATGTCGGCATTGCTGCCAGGCTCAGATGCTGTACTCCTTACGACCGGGGGATGAACGCCCAGCTGAACAGTCAGCGAGGTCGGGAATGGAACTGCCAGCAGAATGCAGCAGAAATGATTTGCGCTCCCCGTGCATGACTAGGTTGCGACTGCTGCAAGCAAACCGCAAGAAATCCAGAAGTTCAAGTCTGGGACCTGCACTTGGGTCAGTTTGATTTATGCAGATCCATTGGAGGTCGCCGTTGATTGTTGGAATTGAGGACGAGAGAAGGAGCCCTGTCCCGAAACAGTCGACTTGGTAGCTCAATGGCAACAAGGAGATCGCGCAGATCGTACCGGTGAGGCTTTCGCCCTCCAAGTGCCCCTCGAACGTGGCCTGGATGCAAGCGGTGAAATCCGAAAACGGTGGTACAGAAAGTTGAAAGTCAAATCTCTCAATGCAAAACCAAAGTTGCCGAGTGTTTGAAGACTTTTGAAGACACAGGAGCTCAACCCACGTTGAACCCAAATCTGGAAGTTCGACACCATGGATACCATGGGGGGTTAAGAACTGAGCTCCAGGTCCTGAAGCGCCACCGTGTCCGCTTGACCTCCATTTGCTGGCCCCGGAAGTCGCAGAGATGGCCAGCTGATGTCAATTCTTGGCATCAACAAATGCATTTTGCATATTTTTTTCATGTTGGTCAGATTCTTCAGCGTGTCTCTTTCGAAGCTCAGACAGCTTTTTGCAAAGTGTCTGTGATGTTGGCTGCCAGGCGCCGGATTTGTTGGTTCCCGTGACGGTGCGAATCCGCAACGCGTGCGATGCCAAGTGGAGCTGTGAAGTGCTTCAGCCATGTCTTTATAAATGCACCATCCATGCGATCGCCAGGTCAATGGCTGGGTCAGTGTCCTTCTATTTTGTGGCAGTCCAAAGCTTATTGATTTCACAGTGTGATTTCTCTGGAACGTGGGTTGTGAAATGGAGACTTTTTTCATTTTATTTTGAGGAGTCCTCAGCAGACATTGCGTGGATTGGTTGCGAGCGATCAGAGATCATCAGCTTGCTTGGCCCTCAGTGACAGTGGAAGCTGCCTGTGATAAGTCGTTGATTCTGGTGGACATGACATGCTTGGACTGTGAGACCTCCAAACACGAGCCACACTGCCATCATCTACGCGTGCGCGATCTCGCCAAAGCACAGCTTGAGCAGAAGCACAGATAATCAGACACATTTAGATACATTTGTTGCAGGTATTTCGTGCAGCCAGGTGTTTACAACCTGAATCGATTCCGTCTTTTTGTGGTCGGAATGCAGCTCGGTCACAATGGAATGCTTGATTTTCACAGTATTATTGAAAGGTTGTAAGGGCAGTCACTGCAGTGATTGTGCAAGAATTTTCGGTCCACACATCCATGGTCCCAATCCTTCCAAGGGTTCGAATGATTGGAAATGGAAATGTGCAGAATGCATCGCAGCAAGACACAATGATAATCTGATAATCTGATAATGATACTAGAAATAATTACTCGTATTGCTGCTAACAACAACAACAACAACAATGAACATCCTAATGTCCATGATGATAAGGATGGCGTACTAGTCTTTATTCATCCCCTCATCACCTCCATGATTCTGCTTTCCCAGGCCCTCAGGCTCCGTCCCTGCATCCGAGCAGGACGGGAGTCTATGTGTTTGCAATACGAGATGGATGACTCGGAGTAAACCCATGGCCCATTTCCTTACACAAATGATGGACTGATCCTTCAAGATGACCGTCCCAGAACTGTTTGAAGGGAAAATTGTAGGAATCTTATGGAATCTTCTCTATTTTTGGCGGTAGTAAACATGGCTTGCAGCAATGTTCTCTTCAACTATTTCATTGATAGTACATGATAGTACTTGGTTTGCATGCCCATCGATTCTTCTGGTGCATTGCTTGTTCCGGATGTCAGACCCTGTGGCAAGGCTCCTCTAGCCTTTGCAGTGCCCTTTGAGCGGCTTCTCCATGTGGTGGCGAGCCAAAAAGAGGGGACCGTAGGATGAGCATCAGCAGCAGCTGCAGAACACCAAGCTCATGAGATTGCTGTTGCTGCACTAACTGCCCAAACTGCCCACGTTGCCTTTGTGACATGGTTGTTCACAGCAAGACAATGATTTCAAAAGAAGTTAGAATCAAATTGGAACAGAGCAAAGTTGCGTCTAAAGTCTAAGGAAACACCTGGCAGCAGGTGACACAAAGGAGGATTACCACACCAAAAAGGTCCAAAAAGATAAACTCAGACTCTAAAAAAACTCCAGAGGGATCTTGGGTGACCCATGTTGCATTGTTGCATTCCGGTGATTTATGAAAGCCCAGACAATTCGGACATCAACAACCGAAGCACGTTCAGCAAAGCACCACACCGCTCAATTCAATGAGTTCCATTTGCCATCAGCCCCCCATATACTCACATCCAACCTTTTATTTACATTAATCTACATCCACCCAGTTGCCTCCACCCACCCCGAACCAGTTCAACCCATTAAGCGCCAAGTCACACTTTACCACGGTTAGAACCACGCTTGGTGCCACTGTCTTTGCAATGGCAGAGGAAATTGGGCCAGTGACTCTGCAGGCGTCTTCTCCAGTCGTCACGCGTCGTGAAAGTTGGTGAGTCTACGCAACTGCGAAGGTGGAAGTCCCTGAAGGTGTTGGCCCAGGGCTCAATTTCAACGTGAGCACGCCTGATGGACAGGCCCAACTGTTAACTGCTAGCCGTTACCCGCTGTATTATAGTCTAGATAGGTGCTGTTGCCGTCAACTTCAGTTGTGGCATGGGACAGCGAGAAAAGATGGCACCGATTGCCATGGAGGTGCTCCAACTGACCTGCCCGGATGGCATTTTTGCTGGGATGATGGTATCCTTTTCGTGCGCTCGAACTGTCTTTCAGGTTTTTTTTTGTTTTTGCTATCTTGGATGGCAACAGGTATTTTCCTGTTGAAGAGCGTCAAGAAGATTCTGGCCACTTGGCTACAAGTACGACCATGCTTTGTCCGTAGTATACCGTTGTTTATTGTCATTTTCACCACAAGGATGGAAATGCAGTTCTGGTGTACACCTCATTTTCAGCGGGTCACCCACGTATGTCAGAGTGGTTTTCTAGGCACCGACGGCACCTACATGCACGAAGATGATCGAAGGCGTTTGGAGGAAGGCGCAGCGATTGCTGCTGTGCAGCTCTGAGGACGACTCTGCTGTGCCTAAGAATGGCATCTCTGATCTGAATATACTCAACATGTTTCAACAGTCTTAGGCTCGGCAAGAAGAACTGAATTCCATCGGAGTGGGATGCTGAGATATGCTGAGGGGAGTTGACTATCTGACTCTATCGCCTGATTTTTGCAGAAGTGGAACTTTCTGATGACATGTGATATTCTGCGATGATTTGATGCATATCACTTGAGCCCTTGTCAAGCTTTTGGACTTTTTGCACACTTTTGCGCCGTAGGTTGTCATGGCAGTGCCTCCACCTCCGACTGGAGAGTTTGATGGCTTTTCATATCCCCCTGCGACATTCGCTGCAGGCACTGGCACGTTGACTCAGCTTTCACGTAGACTAGATACATCTAGATACTCGAGTGCTTGCTGGCACTGCTGAAGCCAGAGCTGTTTGCAGGGCAAAATGCAATTGTGACACGGTCCAGTGGCGAGGCACCGCTTTCGATCCTTTGATCCATGCGTTGTGAAGCCAATATTGACCCACATTCTGGGCTGTCGTGACACATCCTACAGACAGGAATCTGGATGCTACATCTTGGAGGCATGGAATGCAAGGGCAACAGAACCTCAGAACCATGGCATAGAGGAGCCAAAAAGTCACCAGGAACCAGTTCTTCTGTGGGAGAAAACTGATAGCCATGTTGGAAGTATCAGAAAGCATACAGTCGCACAAGAGGGATGTAACAAATTGGAAAGCTATCACTGCAGAGTTCAGAGGGGCGGACTACTTTGAGCTCGGCCAGGTGTTCCTGACAGCTTTGGGGCCTCTCTACACTGTCTACCTCGGCCCTTTCCTCAGGAAGCGAGATGCCACAATTGTTGAGCCTGTTGAGTCGAGGCCAAGCTGAGGATGGCACGTACATTACAAAGAACTGCGAGGAGTCAGACTTGCGGCCGTCGCACGCCTAGAGACTTGCTTTTTTGCGTTAGCCACCATGAATCCTTGTGAACTGTGAACAAGGCCTTTTGCCACGTGAACCTCTGAGGTACCCCACCGCCTGATGCACAGGCTTGTGTGATTGAGCTCGGTGCAAAAAAGCACACGGCCTGCCTTGCCGATACTAGTATGGTGGTGTGATATGTTTTGAGTTTCAACCCGTTTTGATGTGTTTTTTGCTTCGCCGTGATGTGTCCACTTGAGATTTGTGGCTGAGTCTTGGACCTGAACACAGACGTGAACACAATTATTATCATTCAAGACTAAAGGTGTCTTACAGTCGAGAGACCCCCCAGAAAGCCAATCTGTGGAAAACCCAACACGAATTGGACCAGAATGACCAGAACAACCATTCAAGGACTAGGATAGGCTTTGCCAGTCAAGAACCTTTTGATAGGGGCTGTACTTGGCCAAAATCATTTTTTTGAACCATGCGCAAGTCCGTCCCTCTTCACAATTGTCGGAATCAGCATGTCTACCAGATCAAGTTGAAGGAGGCTAGCCAAGCCAACGTTTTTGTATGTTTTTTTTTGTGTTTTTTTCTGTGAGAAAACATTGGGGCTTTCCCGATGCAGTCTACTGCTGAGCTTCTCAATTCTTTCTTAATAGGTTTCGGCCTTTGTGTCAGTGGTGGTGAAGCGAACAAAGTCGGATTCAGAAACTCCACTGGTCACTGGATTCAGAAACTGTTGAGATTCAGAAACTGCACGTTGGATTCAGAAACTACCCGTGAGATTCAGAAACTATTTCGTCGGATTCAGAAACTACTACGTCGGATTCAGAAACTATTTTGTTGGATTCAGAAACTATTTCGTCGGATTCAGAAACTATTTCGTCGGATTCAGAAACTACTTCTGAGGATTCAGAAACTTTGGGGATTCAGAAACTACTCCATGGTTCAGAGCCATGCAGTTTAGGGTTGCTTGTAAGGTGACAGATATGATGTCATATTCACAGCAACATCATGCACACTTGGGACACGGACAAGAGTAATGATCAAGTTATGATGTCTTTCAACCTATCTTGACGAGGAATCCAATCCACCCCCTGCGGCCAATATATTGGAAGGAAATTTCATTCAACTTATCTTCATGATGGATCCAAACTACCACCCACTGTAAGCAATACATTGATGGGCATAGTAACCTAAACTTATTCTTCATGAAGGATCAAAACTGTCACCACCTTCTTGGCCAATATATTGAATAGGATCTTGACTTGAAATTATCTTCGTGAGCGATCAAAACTGCCACCTCCTCTGGCCAATATATGGAATAGGATCTTAACTTCAACTTTACTTCAGGAGGGGTCAACACTGCCACCCACTGTAAGCAATACATTGATGGGCATAGTAACCTAAACTTATTCTTCATGAAGGATCAAAACTGTCACCACCTTCTTGGCCAATATATTGAATAGGATCTTGACTTGAAATTATCTTCGTGAGCGATCAAAACTGCCACCTCCTCTGGCCAATATATGGAATAGGATCTTAACTTCAACTTATCTTCATGAGGGATCAAAACTACCACGCGCTCTGGACAATATATGGAACAGGATCTTAACCTCAAATTACCTTCATGAGAGATCCAAACTGCCACGCTCTCTGGCCAATATATGGAACAGGATCTTAACTTCAACTTTACTTCAGGAGGGGTCAACACTGCTACCCACTGCAAGCAATACATTGATGGGCATAGTAACCTAAACTTATTCTTCATGAGGGATCAAAACTGCCACCAACTCTGACCAATATATTGAATAGGATCTTAACTTGAAATTATCCTCATGAGGCATCAAAACAGCCACCACCTCTGGCCAGTTGGAACAGGATCTTAACTTAAATTTATCTTCATGAGAGATCAAAACTGCCACCCCCTCTGGCCAATGTATGGAGCAGGATCTTAACTTCAACTGATCTTCATGAGGGATCAAACTGCCACCCCCTCTGGCCAATATATTGACAAGGACTTTAACATATCTCAACTTCAAATTATCTTCATGAGAGATCAAAACTGCCACCCCTTCTGGCCAATATATGGAACAGGATCTTAACTTCAACTTTACTTCAGGAGGGATCAAAACTGGAACCCCCTCTGAGCAATACATGAATGGGCAGAGGAACCCAAACTTATAGAATGGGCTAACGCCCGGGTGCCGCCGACCCTCCTTTGAAGCACCAACAAGGCAGTGTGGCTAGGGTTATGACGTAAAAGGCTTCATTTTACTGGAAACCAGCAAAGAATTAAAAAAAACAAAAAAAATACAAAAACAAAAACAATCCAACAAAAACAATCCCCCAAAAAAAACAAACGAAAAAAACAAAAAAACAAAATAAAAACAATAAAAAAACAGTAAACAAAACAAACAACAATAAACAGCGCACGGTTTGAAACTCAGAGAGACTTTGTGCTTCTCCCTAATCGCCGCAGCTTGTTGATACCACTTGCTCTCAAAGTCCACAGTCTGCTGCGTTGCCTGCTGCCAAGCTGCGACCAAGAATCCCAAAATCCAACAAGGGCTGCCTAGTCAAAGCTTCAAACAGTGCCTATTGCCCTTGATGGGGGGCAAGCAATCAGTCTAGGGGGTGCCCGCGGCGGCTCGTGGTACTCCTTTTTCATCTTGGTCCGGTTCAAGACCAAGACAACGTGGCGTGTCGAGGGGATTGACGAAGACAACGTGTTTCCCGTCGCGCCGCAAAAGAAACCGTGGTATTTGGAATTATTTGGACAAGGGACGAAGGCGGCCAGTTCTCCGTGTGACGCGGAAGCAGTTTCCATTGGCTCCGGGGTTTGCAACCACCGCTCACGCAGCCCAAGGGCAAACTTGCAAAGAAGGCGTTGTCATGGACATGCACATTGGGGAAGCAGGCGACCCATTGACAGCCTACATTGCGTTAACGCGGGTCCAAGACAGGCATGGTTTGTTTGTGTACAGACCGTTCCCTGCAGCACCGTTTCAAAAAGGCGCAAAAGTAGGGCGGGAATTGCTGTTGCGGTTCTGGGGTGGTGAAAAAATGGATTGGAGCGCGCTGCGAGCGAAATACCGAGACGAAAGAGAATGCAAAGAATGCAATGAATCAAAGCCGGCTTCTGCATTCACGGCTGGTCGATGGAAACGCCAAGATGCGGCGAGAGTATGCAAAGAATGCATTCGTCGGCACGTTGAGACGCAGATGCCGTGGCAATGCATGGCATGCACGGCCTGGAAACAGGAAGATGCATTCAAGGCAAAACATGCAAGCCCACAAGCCACATTCTATCGTATTTGTGCGACGTGCGAACAGACACAACTGTGTCGTGTCTGCAATACGCGCAAGGACGAAATGAAATTTTCTGCCGCCATGTGGAAACGGGCGCGCAACGGCGGCAGAGTGTGCTTGGCTTGTTCGGAGAAGGCATGGGGCTGGTCGAGATGCAGCATATGCCACGTAAAGCAAGCAGCGTTCGCTTTCTGTGGTTCAGTTGATCGAGCCATAACTCCATTTGCAGTCATGTGTGGTCAAAAGACCATAAGGTTTAAAAGATGGATGGCATGCAACATGGCATGGCCACCTGCGCAAAGAATACACGCCATTGAACAAATGGCTCAAGGTGCCTCTTGCAAAAAAGAGGGCACCAGCAGCTGCGAAGTTGCACCTGTGTGAGAAACCACGGGTTATGAGCCCAAAGTGACTCTACCTGGCATGGAGTTGAGCCGACGGCGAGATTCGTCCTTGCAGCGGCGTGCAGCTCAAGCGCTGGCTGATGAAGCGGCTGATGCGCAGTTGCAGCGGTTGGTGGACGACGTGGCAGCGACTGGGACTTCTGGGGCAACAGCTTTGTCCGATGTGCCTGGGAATACTGGGATGGTGTCTGGTGTTTCTGGGGGTGACTTGTTAGCTGGTTTGCAACCCATAGGTCCACCGATGTCCTTCTCTCCGGGTGATTTTCTTGAGCCAGTTAGAGGTGAAACTACTAAAGGCGAAAAGAACCTCGAGGTAAAGGGAGAAAATCCTGAAGTGAAACGTGTTGTTGTGTCTGAACCGAGTTCTGATGCCCGTAGAAGTGATGGTGCTGATGGGAATGCCTCTGGTTCCCCCCAAAATGGTAACGGTAAAGGTCAAGGAGGCCATGTTGCCACGGGAAAGGGAAACGGTGGGACCCAACAAGTTACCCAGGGTTCAAGGGTTCGGCAGGCGAAAAATGAGCCTGGTCAGCCAAGTGGGTTGGACAGGAATGTTGTTGGTGAAAACCCTCCTCAAATGTGGGTCACCGGTGATGTTGTGGGGAAAAATGAAATCCCAAAAAATGTGGTGCAACATGGTAGTGAAAAACATGTTGTTCATGGCCAAGGGGTAGAGGGATCAATGCCTAGTGGTTTGGGGGTCCAAAGCCAAGTGAACCCGTTTTGGAGTCCTGACTGCAAACGTGAAGCTCTTCGAGAAGCTTATGGGCCTGGCTATGAAGGTCAGGACCTTATGCGACTTGGTTTTAGTGCTGGGTTTCAGGATGCTTCGCAACTTGGATTTAGCGCTGGGATTCAGGAGCCACTGCAGTCAGTGTCAAACACCACCACACCACAAAAAGGGTATGTTGAAATGGATCCTGTTGAGCTCTTTAGGCTTAGGTGTTTGCGTGATGCCGAAGAAAGGTTTCGGCAAGGTGTGCTGTCTTTGAAGTCCGAACCAAAAAGGGAAGTAGGACAAAAGATGGTTTTTGATGAATGTTGTGAGGGTTTGGGAGTTGTTGGTGGAAAAGAGGATGGCATGAAAAATGAACCATCCCTGCAAGGGTCACAAAGTTCCTTTGTTTCGGTGCCAGAGCCTTTGGTTGAACTGTTTATCCCTAGGCCTCCACCGGGTCCACCACCACCTTCGCCTCCGAAAGTGTCTGTTGTGGGATGTGGGAATATTGTAGGGAATGTTTGCCCCCCGCCTCCTGTGTTGCCGCCATTTCCGCCTTCGATCACTGGCTTCGGCCCAAGCTCAGGCGTTTGTGGTGAAAATCCCTCGGAAAATCTGAGGACTGTGGATTTGCCGAAGTTGTCAGGTGATGCAACTGCGGTTCAATATGGTGATTGGCTCAGCGTGGTTGACACGATGATGGGCGACTTGTCGT